ATTTATTGTCAATATCAGACATCAATATTTTTGCTAATGATTGATTAGAGAATTATTATAGAATCCTCATGCTATGGAGATAGTACATAACCTTAGTTGAGACAATGTGCATTAATACTGGGGAAAATAGTGAACTTCAATTCTATTGGCTACAATACGCATCAATACTGAGGTGATAGTGGACTTTGATTCCATTGGTCACAATGAGCATCAATGTTGTAAATGAATACAAGTGTTATTTTATTAGCATGACAGTTGTGAGCTTAGACGGATAGAACTTTAGTAATATTTAGAATCCTCTCAAGGCATCCTCAACTTCATAGATGCAGGACAATTTTATAAATTTAATAAAATCGTTATTTTATTTATTTCAACATAAAATGACAATTTATTGGATGATCAAGATTATTCATGCTTAATTATATAGTATTTTTTAAACTTATGTCAATGATGACCGGTACTATATTTTTATCATTTTAGAATAAGAGATTAATAATCATTGAAAAAAATATTTATCAATATTTCCTATGAAAATTTAATAGTCTACAATTTTTATTAAAATCAACAATTAATTTAATTTTATAAATAATAATAATAATTTTCTCCATCTAATTGCTAATAATAAAATCATATTTAATATATAAAAATGAGCTATAGTTCAATTTTCATTTAAAATTTATTTAAATTGAGGCTGGAGAACAATTACAGGGAAGGTGCTACCATCTTAATTTATTAGTTGAGCGCATAGACTCTCAACCAAGAAGTCTAATAAAGTTTGAGGTTAAAATATCCCTTCTATATCTATATGAGTTTTGTCATTAAATCAACTCAAAGTTCAAAAAATAAAAAATAAAAAGTCGAAAAAGAAAACAAGCTTATGTGATCACGGTCAAGTGGTTGGCCATTTTTTTCTGCACTGAGAGATCCTAATATTGGAGCCTCGCCGACCCAAACAAAAAAAAAGGTATTATGAGATGATAAAGAGGAGACGGATGATTGAAGGATAAAGAACAATGTAGCTGCTACATCAAAAATAGAATTAAAATATAAGTTGAATATGCCCATTTCAAATCTTGATTCAGTAAGTAATGCACAATTTCTTGAAAATAAAATTAAAAAAAAAAAACAAATTATGATTACAAACCAAAATGCACATTGAGAGCAGGAACCGCTCGCATCTCTTTTGAATCTCAAAAGAAGTGGGAATTAAAAAAGTATATATATGCTTAAAGGCTACTTCCTAATTTGAATTCTTTCGTCTTTTATAAAATAAGGAAGTTTAGCCAATGCTTTAATTTCCACGGAAGCTCAAACTCCTTCCACCAAAACCCACCCCTCATCTTCACAACCACCACCACCATCTACCTGACAAATAAGCTCTTCTCTGTCGTCCAATCCCACTCCGCCATCTGAATCATAATTCACCTCACCCGTCTCTTTAGACCTTCTGCGATCTCCCTTCAAATAAAAATCAGAAATCACATCTTTGTGCCTATGATTTCCTTTGATTTTGGCCATGGCTTTATTCACCGGATGAGCGTGACAGAGTCCACACCTCGGCAACTTACAACGACCGGTGAACTTGGACTTGTTGGTAGGCTTTGAAGGGGCTTTCGTAAATTGGCCCATGAACGATCCTTCAATTCGCTTCAGCGACTTCTTTATTGTTCTTTCGGTGTTGTTTGAAAGAGAGGAAGAGAGATCAGAGTAGACTGAGACAATACCATGTTGGCGGCCCTCTCTTCTCATACTTTCGAGGGTTTGATTTGTCTGGATAGCCAGATTGTTTCCAATGGCTTTAAATAAACTTTTGTTTTCTTGAAGGGCAAGAAATAGTTTTTGCTCATAATTATTTTATTTAATTTTATATGTTGGCCTTAATTGACCAATTAAACTCATTTTTTTTAATGGGAATGGTTATATAAAAAAAATGGAACCATTTTTGTCGTTAGGGGTGAAGTGTAAATAATTATTTATAAATAATTTATATTTGATTCTCGAATTAAATGGCTCCGGCTGTCTCCTCGCCGTTGGTTAAATTTTTCTGAAAATATCTTATTGTACGTTGTAAATTTTCTCACTTAAAGGTACGAGGTAAGTGTAAATATTAAATTTTATGTGTTGATATATATATATATATATATATATATATAGTAAAAATATATTTCTTATGAAAAAAAATTTTTAGTTA